ATTGGCTCCCATCTTACTTAACAGGGCCCTTAGTTGAATACCGATCAAAATTATTTGCAATTTTTAAACTTTTCCAATATAGAATTATTAGTTATGTTAAATACCCTGAAAAGCCGAAACCTCTTATTCCGGTCCTTAGAAAAACTACAACTAGTCAGGAATTGTGTAAGAGAAGAGACGTCGTAAGTAACAATAGCGCAAAAGCAGGCAGCGGAGATCCGCAAAGGTAACCAAATGCCTAGGGCTTAGGACAAGAAGCGTTCGGAGTCTCTTAATAAAGGATAAAGACTAATTAATATCATCTTTACAGCGATCTGATTTTAACAAGTCCTTCGCCCCTTATCTTCTCGTCTATCATCTTTATCTTCTGATCGGATCGCCTGGCTTCTTTCAATCCCTACTTGAAAGGCTTGCTTTCTTCAAAAAAGCTTTCTTTATTAAGATTCCTTTTAGAAGCTAAGCTCCTTCAGATAGTAAGATTCGCTTAACTTCATACCTCTAAGCGCTCGTGACTATCCGATAATAGTCACTTCCGTTTTCCTTTTACACTGAAAAAGGAAAACAGAACGATTGAGCATAAAAAGAATATAGAGAATGAGCTATTACGTGCAAACAATGGAAAATCAATAATAAGAGTCTGATCTTCTCGCTTAAGAATATGCGATTCCTCCAGAGTGAAGTTGTTGGGGGAAGAGAAGATAAGGAAGCTAGTTTAATTGAAGAAGCCATTTTCTTTAATGTATACTACCTGGTCTATAAAGGCATGACGCATCTCCTTTTTTTAGTCCACTTTCCCTTAGAAAACGGAGCTGCTTGAAAGTAGATTTCGAAATTACATAGGTGAATGTAGATATCACCGGTGTCCTACTCGAGACGAAGTACTTGTCGTCCCCAAAACAAAAGGGATGAGGGAAAAAGGCTCGAGAAAGCGTCCTTGGAAGGGGGAATATCTGAAAAAGTGTTAGCGGGGAGCCCATCCCTCTCGTTCTTACAAAAGACATAAGGGGGAATACACGATGGACAGAAAGCGGGGAAACATCCTTTTTCTATCTTCTCTCCACAGAGGAAGGAAAGCACCGCCAAGCCAACAAGAAAACAAAAACTGCATGAGGTACTAAGGGCCTTGTGCGCCCTGCAAAAGATTACCGGGGGTCTCGGTACCAGGGGGCGTGAGAACAAGAAACTCCAGTAAATAAAAGAAAGACAATAGGAGTCCTCTCAATAGCCGAGAGCCCACTTCCCTATATGCGCTTACGAAAGGGGAAAAGCTTGATTCTGATAGATTAGACAATACACATGTGCAAACAAGAAAATCAAACTATCTTCTTATTGATACTATATATTTATCCTTTCCCCTATAGATCCACCTTTCTTCAAAATAAAGATATAGCAACTAAAAGAAAGCTAAATCGAATCGGAATAGGATAAAGAACGCACGAAGGATCAGAAAGAAAGAGGATTCTAAAAGCGAAAAGCCTAGAAGACTAGATTGTCAGACTCGAAGGTAGCAGTAAGATCTCTGTCTCCAGAGAAGGCATGAGGGTTTTCTAAAAGTCTCCTCTCATTACTTATGGATAAAGCTCTTAAGATTAAGCTTTTACGAACTGAAAATCTTCCCATTCTAAATAAGAATGAGAGTCTTTCAACTAGATGTGCTCCTTTGGCTGGGTTTGAGAGAGAGAGCGTGAGATAGTTGGTCTAATAACTAGTCCAACTTCCTTGTATCTGAAAGCGATGACAGGATGATAGGCCTAGTAAGGAGACTTTTTGGATAATTTACTTCCATGAATAGACTGTTAGGCTAAGAAGAATAGGTTGGGATTGATCCCACCTTTGAAAGAGTGGTTTTGTTCTGTCAATACAACTTATCGAGTTATCAAGCTGAACTGCCTTCTGTAAGGAGCTTGAATCGTTCGTTTACTCTATTACCGACGCGATGGATTGCTATTTGAAAACACTTTCAATACAAAAAGAGCTCCTTCTGGCTATACTCTATTTGGACAGTCTTAGTTCAGTTTGAGAAGTCAAGGAGGCACGAAGAGCTAACAAAGAGTCTTTATATTTGACTGTCTGAAATCAAGTGGGAGATTGAATTGAAAAGTCCCCTTACTATAGATAGGGTGTTAGCGCTGTTTTTTGAAATAAGGACGTTTAGGTTTGACTAATAAGATAGAAAGGGGCAAGCCAAAACCCACTCTACTGAGTTCGGCTTTCGGGGCTACCTACTTTAGGGCTTATGTAATATATAAAGAAGAACCCTCTTAGGCCTTTTTGTTTAAGGGATGCTCGCCTTTTGAATAGAAGGAAGTGGGAGAGCAGAGGTTATTTCGGTAAACCGATGCATGAGCTGAGGCTCCCATGTCCCACCGACCCTCCGAAAAAGTAAGGGCTCATAGGGAGTCAGAAGCAAGCAGAGTAAAAGGCAGGTAAAACTCACATAAGCAGAGGGAGAGACACATTCATGAAAAGCGAGAAGCCCTGCCGTGGGGGACTGACAAACTATGAATAGATCTTACTTATGCTTACGGGTGAGAACATATATTAGTCCGTATCGTGGGTCTATTTGTTACAAAAGGCGAACATCCCCTTTCCAAAACATTAACATAGGTCCTCGGGCAGACATCGAAAAGGGGGCGAAAAGGGTCTATTTACCTTTACAATATTTTGGAATGTATCATGGCTCTATCTATTCATTAAAAAAAAAGAGTTCTGCATCTCGGGTGAACAAATAGGCGTGGGGAAGAGTGAGGGGGGGGGGGCTCGTACGAGCCGTCTTCTATGTTGTTCCGGTACCGACCCACTCTCTTCCCTCCCCTTTCGTCCGGCCCGGTCGAGATC